TCTTAAATGAATGCTGTGTTGAATAACCTGGCTTCAGAATCTGACCACCCTGGAGTGTAATTCCACCCACTAGCTGTGTGGCCTTGGGCAGGTCATCTCACCTGAGCCCCAGTTTCCTCATGTGCTATAAGAATTTGTCAAAGGCTCTGGGGTTTACAAATGTGTGTTGTGGGGTTCTATCTTATTTGTTATTCACGGTGGCTCTGTGAAGTCTAATTTCTGTTTTCCAAATAAGAAAACCTAAAATCCTAATAAATTCAAGTTCTGCTTCAACATATTAATGTTCCCAAGTAATGGAATTATGAGAGACCTTCACATGCATCCTTAACACAGCTTTAAGCAATGCTGAATCTCACCTAGTGAGTCTAAGAATTCCTTTTAAACTTTTCTGATTCTTCCTATGACATCAAGGAGAAAGTGTGTTTGGTCCTACTGCTGTTTTCTTTGAGGTTTATTTTATGAGAGAGAGAGAGAGGAGGGGAGGGGAGGGGAGGGAAACATCGATTGATTGCCTCTCGCATGTGCGCCCTGACTGACTGAGGACCAAACCCGCTAACTCCAACCAACCAAGCCACCACAGCCAGGGCACGGTCTTACTGCTCTTGAATACCTCTCTGAGAACATGCTTCTCTCCTTTCAATCCAAGGGAAGGCAGGCCTAGGCTTAAAGCTTCAGCAAACAATTGATACTAGGCCCAGAGAATTCCAGTGGCTTACCTGGTGTCAGCCAGCATAAGAATGGGGTCTCTATCATTGTTAATAGCAGTAACAGCAGACCCTGCCATAAAGCATTCTAACAAATTTACTCTTGTTCTTATTTAGTCCTTACAACCATCTTGTATGAGAGGTACTATTATTATCCCCAAATCTAGTGCTTTTCCCCAAATATCACACTGCCTTGCTGTGCAGCTAAAAATCGATCTCTTCTATTTCAATAGATGGAGGAGAACAGGTAATGGGAGGTTTGGCGGGGAGTAGGAAAAAGCAAACTTCGATATGTCAGAAAGATGATCCAACCACAGTGGTTAAGAAAATAACTCATGCTGTGTACAGTGGGTATCACTTCTAGCTCTTCCATTTCCCAGCTGTGTAACTTGAGTGTTTAGTTCATTTGACCTCTCAGTTTTCCACTCTAGAAAATGGGCATTAAAATCAACTTCATAGGGTGTTTGGGGAAGATTAAATAAGAAAGAATATAAATGTTAGCTGATAATAATAATTCAGGAGTGGACGGATTCCTGACTCTTGAGATTGGTGCAAGTTGTATTAGTTTGCTAGAGCTGTTATAACAAAGTAACACAAACTTAGGGGCTTAAACACCAAACATTTATTTTCTCACAATTCTGGAGGCCCAAGGGGGAGATGAAGGTGTCAGTGGGATTGGTTTCTTTTGAGCCCTCCTTAGCTTGTAAACGGCCCTCTTCTCCCTGTGTCTTTACATAGTCTTCTGTCTGTTACTGTCAGCATCCAAATTTCCTCCTCTTACAAGGACACTAATCATACTGAATTAGGGCCCACCCTAGTGACCTCATGTTAACTTAATCACTTCTTTAAAGGCCCTGTCTCCAAATATAGTCACATTCTAAGGTACTGGAGGTTAGGAATTCAACATATGATTTTGGGGAAGACATAATTCCTGTTAAGAGATTTTTGTTTTGTTTTAATAGTTTATTGTTTATACTTTTAGAGTTGTCCCAATTTTTCCTTCTTGACCCCTCCACCCAGCCCACCCCCAACTTGCATAAGGAGATCCATGTTAAGAGAAAACTTGAAATACATGTCCTGACTGGTGTGGCTCAGAGGGTTGAGTGCCAGCTTGTGGACCATAGGGTCACTGGTTTGATTCCCAGTCAGGGCACATGCCTGGGTTGTGGGCATGTAGGAGGCAACCACACATTGATGTTTCTCTCCCTCTCTTCCTCCCTCCCTTCCCTTCTCTCTAAAAATAAATAAATAAAATCTTTTTTTAAAAAGAGAAAACTTGAAATACAAAAAGAAGAAGGAGGAGGAAAAGGAGAAGGAGAAGGAGAAGAAGAAAATAAATTTCTTATTGCCCTAATCGTTGGGAAGGCAACTTCCAGTCTTTTTTTTTTGTTTTTGGTGCCTCCTTACACACACACACACACACACTTCTACATTCTGCTTACTTGGTTTTACTCCATAGCTTAAAACATTCCCTAAGTCATTTTTAAATTATTATAAACATTGTTTTGTATCTCTGGATCAATAATCTGTGGCGTTAGCACTCATAGATTATTTAACTCTTGCGATATATTACGATGATTTAACCTTTGCCATATCCTTTTAGCCCTAAAGGAAAGCAAGATAACTGAGATGAGACTTCAAAGCTGTGTGTTGGAGGTAAAGGGCAGGGTCTCCCTGGGGCTCTTATGCCCCTGGGACCCTCTGGAGCTGAATGAATCAGGCTTAGATTCCCCCCCCCCCCCCCGCTCTGTCACTGGGCAGGTATGTCGCAGCCCATAACTCCTCAGTGGGAATGTCGTCAAAGAGGCAGGGCTGGTTTCCAAGCAGTCCTCTCTCTCTCTCTCTCTCTCTCTCTCTCTCTCTCTCTCTCTCTCTCTCTCTCTCTCTCTCTCGCACATTCCAGACTTCCCACAAAGGATCCTTCCTCTGTGCGAGAGCCTGTGGGCTCTAAAGAGCTGGCACTGGGCTCTGGGGAACCGGAGGCAGCTCTGTATGCTTTTAAGTCCCCCTTAACCCCTTCCCTTCACTAACCCCTCTCCCCAAATTATGGCCAACATGTTAACTTCTTTCACTTAGGTTAGCTTTGCTTGTTTTTGAACTTCATGTTGATGGAATAATGCGTATGTCCTCTCTTGGATCTGGCTTCTATTAGGCAACCATATGTTTGTAAGATTCATCCACGTTGTTGAGTGTCCTTGTAGTTGATTCATTTCATTTTGTGAATATACCATGATGTTTCTACGTTGATGGACATTTGGACTGTTTCCAGTAAACAGTTCAGCGGTATTAAGTACATTCACAGTGTTGTGCAACCATTACCACTATCCATCTCTAGAACTTGTTCATCATTCCAAACAGAAACTCTACATCCATTAAACAATAACTCCTACTCCCCTCTCTTTCCAGTCCCTGGTAACCTCTATTTTACTTTCTCTATTAATGTGACTTTCCTAAGTACCTCCAAGTACTGGAACCATGCAGTATTTGTCCTTTTGTGACTGGTTTATTTCACTTAGAGTAATGTTTTCAAGGTTTATCCATATTGGAACTTTATTCCTTCTAAAGGCTGAATAATATTCCATTGTATGTATAAACCACATTTTGTTTATCTACTACTTATCTCTTGATGGACAGTTGGATTGTTTCTACCTTCTTGCTATTATGAATAATGATGCTATGGAAATTTGTATATGAGCATCTGTTTGAGTTCCAATTTCAATTCTTTTGGGTATACACCTAGAAGTGAAATTTATGGGTCATATAGTAATTTCTATGTTTACCTTTTGAGGAAGGGTTCCAATTTCTTCACATCTTGTCAACACTTACTGTTTTTCATTTGCATGAGTTTTTTTTAAGTTGTTCTAGTGGTGTGAAGTGGTATCTCATTGTGATTTTTATTTGCACTTCCCTAATGACTAATGATATTAAGTATCTTTTCATATGCTTATTTGCCCTTTGTGCAAGTAAGTACAAAGTATATAGTCTTTGGAGAAATGTCCTTTCAAGTTTTTTGCCTCTTTCCCGAAATAAAATTGGGTTGTTTTTGTTGTTGAGTTTTTAAATTCTTTTTTTTTTAAATATTTTATTTATTTATTTTTTAGAGAGAAGGAAAGGGAGAGAAACATCAGTATGTAGTTGCCTCTTGTGCACCCCCTACTGGGGACCGGTCCCCCCCACCCTCCTCCGCAACCCAGGCATGTGCCCTGACTGGGAATTGAACCCAGGTGACACTTGGGTTCACAGGCCAGCACTCAAACCACTGAGTCACACCAGCCAGGGCTTAAGGAGTTCTTTATATATTCTGGATATAAATCCTTTGGAGTTCTACTTTTTTATATTATACTGTTTGGATACTTTATCATGTTCACGTAACTTATCTGTTATCCTTTCTTATACCAAGGAAGGGTTTTTTAAAAAACAATCATCATTGTCATCATTTGAGATGACAATGAACATAACAGTTTTGCAAAAGAGAGGTAGAAGACCTCTCTCTGACATTTCCAGGGCACAGCACTGCCCCCGCGGTCCTGGTTGTGCTGCAGCCTAGTAAAAGGATGAGCACAGGTGTCTGGACCAGTGCCAAGGGAACCTCTGGGCCAGAGCATGATGCCCATGTGCCCAGGTGTGGCTTCGGGCAGGTCCCTGATTTCATGCTTTGGCCACAAGGAAGGGCGAGTAAGAGGATTGGTTATGAGTGTTCTTTGGTGTGCACTTTGGGGTCACGCTGACCTGGCTCCTGAATCAGGTTTCTCATCTTCGAAAAGGGGCTAACAACCTACCTTGGTAGGGTAGTTGAAAGGATAAAATAGGCCCCGTCTCTGGGTTGGTGAATGGCGGTTATTAACTCAGAGTGCTTGTGTAAAGGGGGGCCAGGCAGAGGGATTCAGAAGGAGTGTGACAACTGAAACCGCCAGAGGTTGTCCCGTGTGAGTGGTGGTGTGGCAGGGTGCTGCCGCATGTAAGTAGACTCATGACTTTTAAAAATGCCGAAAATCTGCCTCCCTGGGGACTAATGTCACTCAATGTCTATGATCTTGGTTTTCTGGACTCATGAACAAAGAAAGGGGTTTGGCCCACAAACTGACCACAAAGTGGTCCTCCCTTTAGAGACCAAACTTGGAAGCCCCGTCTGAAACTTGGATTTGGTCACACTGCTGCTCAAAGGAAGTAAGTCCAGTCTCCTCCTGAAGGGCCCTGGAACAGTCCCAGTCAGGGCACTGTTGTCAGATCTTGTTTCCCTGGAGTAGCTTCCAGAAGCCCCTCTTTCTTAATATTATTTTTCTCCCTTCTCCACAGTAGTTTTCGTGGGCTGCCCTGGGCAAGAGTCGGCCCTGCTTAGCACTGACAATGACTTTGCTGCACTGAACGACAGAACCGTCCAGGTAAAACACCATGTCCACCTGCAGGATGGAAGAAAGATATTTTTCCGTGCGTGCCCAGATTGCCATTGTGAGCTTCCTTTTCCCTTCAGAGGAGGGAGCCTTCAGTTGCCCACAGCCATGGACGTGGGTACTGAGCTAAAGCCGTGTAGTGTTTGCAGCTGCCCAGTAGGGGCAGCAGAGTAACGGCCTAATGCCCTTGTCTCTTGGATTCTCCCTCCCACCGCCCTTTCCTTTCCCGTAACATCTGGGTAAACCCCAAATGAAGGCAGTTCCAATACAGAACTGCCAATCCCATTAGCAGCTGGGAAGATGGACATGGGGCACCTGGCCATGCATCGTTTCCTTTTTTTTTTTTAACTTTAAAATCTATTTTTCCTCCCAGCAGTTGCTTTATTTTTTTTTTCTTTTTTTCATTTTAGAGAAAGAGAGAAACGTCAGTTTGTTCCACTTATTTGTGCATTCATCAGTTGATCCTAGTCATGCTCTGCCCGGGGAGGGGACCCACAGCCGTGCCTGGCAGGAGGACGCTCTAACCAAAGGAGCCACCTGCCAGGGCACATCGTCTCTTTTCATTTAATTTTTTGAATAACTAATATAAACATAGTTCAAAAATTTAAAAATAAATATCTAAAATTATACAATGAATAGCCTCCCCTTATTTTTCTCCATCTGCCTAATGCCCTCTCTACCCCTCCAAGCGAAGTCACTGTTACCAGTTTCTTTCCTTCAGGAGTTTAATTACATATGTTACCTATATAGTTATATTTTATGTGTTTTATATTTTATGTGTGTGTGTATATATATATATACAGATATAAAAATAGACTCTTATCTCCTCTATGTAAAAGCAAATGTACTATTAAGCTTCTTTTTGTACTTAAATATATATATATCAGTACTGCCTAGCCCCTTGCTACAGGAAACCACCATTATTAGTTTCTTGTGTATTCCCCCAGACTTTGTCTATATGTAAGCAAATGTGAATATGTGCTGTTATTTTCCTACCTTTTTACACAAAAGCTGGAATAGTGCCTGACGTCTATTAAGCACTATGTGTTTGTTAAATAAAATGCTAAACTACATATAGAAACTGTCCTGTACCTTGTTCTTTGCATTCAGCAGTACATAGCTAAGGTCCATGTCAGCACATAGAGAGCTTCCTTATTCCCCGTTTTTAGAGCTGCATAGTATTCCACTAGTTGTATGTACCATAAAATATTTAATTAGTTCTCCTCTATAAGTGAACACTTAGATTGTTCTAAGTTTTCTTTTGCAACAGACCCATCTAGGTCTCTCTCCCCTAACCCTTAACTCCTGTAGGCGAGAGGATGCTGGGCATGTCTGCATATCTAGGTAAAGGGGTCTTCTCTCCTTACAGGAAAGGAAAGCATTGAAGAACTCCCCATCCAAACGTATCTTACGAAGACACAAGAGAGAATGGGTGGTCCCGCCGATATCTGTCTCTGAGAATGGCAAGGGTCCCTTCCCTCAGAAGCTGAATCAGGTACTGGGGCCTGCAGAGGAAAGCCTCCCTCAGGGAAGCACTTTCTGATGAGGCTGTGCCTCTCCGCCCTTCCCCATGTAGCGTTCTTGGCTGCAGTCATGAGATATTTGTTGCTTTTTCAGCTACTTTTTTTTTTGCTTCCAGCTTAAATCTAGTAAGGACAAAGGCACTAAGATTTTCTACAGCATCACAGGGCCTGGGGCAGACAGCCCCCCTGAGGGTGTCTTCTCCATAGAGAAGGAAACAGGCTGGTTGTTATTGAATAAGCCATTGGACCGGGAGAAGATTGCTAAGTATGAGGCAAGTAACCTTTAGCATCCAATGAGAAGCAGGGACCCGGGGCCTGGTGGGAAAGGTAGCGCCAGGCTAACCCCACACCTGTGTACCCACAGCTCCTGGGCCACGCTGTGTCAGAGAATGGAGCCTCAGTGGAAGAGCCCATGAACATCTCCATTATCGTGACAGACCAGAATGACCACAAGCCCAAGTTCACCCAGGATGTCTTCAGAGGGAGTGTCTTGGAGGGGGTACTTCCTGGTAAGAGGCCTGAAGAGGGGAAAGCTTCAGAGGTCTCTTGGGCCCAGACGTGGCCTTGGGTCCACTTATGATACCATCTGGACATCAGCCCAGACCTTTTTGGGCTGGAAGTGCCCTCCATACCTGACTTCCTTAACTGTGCAACAGGTCATCTGGAATCCGCATACTTGAAAATTTCCCGGAAGCCTCAGATGATCAGCCAGGTTAAGGAACCACTAGTTTTGGAGCGCAAACACCTAGATTTGAATCTTCATTTTTGCCCCTTTACCTGCTGGGATGCTGGGCAAGTTCTCAATCTCTGAGCCTCCCTCCTCACATCTGAAAATGGCAGTCATACCAATGTTAAAGAATTCTGAAGATCAGAAATAACACACATACCTCAAGTAACACAAAGCGCCTGGCATGGGGTTCTTCAGTAATTGGCAGCCACAGGAAAGCAGCAGGGACAGGAAGGTGTCGGAACATGGTTCATGCTGTGAGGGAAATAAATTCCCAGGGCTGGAGAAGAGGGTGGGAGAGGCCAGCAGAAAATTAGGAAAATAGGTATATATCAGTGCTCTCAAAGATAGGTGCTGCTGGGGAGGGGTCCTCTTTCTTTCTCTCTGAGTTGGGGACGTTACGTACGGAGAAGTATGAATTGGTTAGACTGCCAGTAACAAATTCCCAAAAGACAAGCAGTACCTTAAACAAGATGGAAGCTTCCCTGCCACTGACCCCTTATATTCAGGAAGCTTAGAGGAGGTCGATTCAGAATGGAATAGTCCTTTCAAGTGTTGGAGACCTAGACTCCTTCTAGCTCGTTGCTCTGCTGTCTTGGCATGGTTCCCAGTATTACCTCATGGTTGCTGCTGGGGCTCCAGCCGTTACATCTGGGGAGAGGAAAAGGGTAGGAAGAATAAGCCACATACTCAGAGAAACACTTCTTGCGAAGTTGTATATCCCATTTGTCAGAATTTAGTGTTGTGGTCACAGCTAGCTGCAAGCAAGGGTAGGAAATGGTCTTTGTTCTAGGTGAGCCTGTGCCCAGCCTGAAGTGATTACGAGGATCATGTCTCTAAGAAAGAAGGGGGAAAATGGAAAATGGGCGCCAATTAGCAATCTCTGTCACAAGTGGAACATGGGTCTAAGCCTCTGGGCAGGATGGAGTCTCTCACAGTTCAGAAGTAGGTGAGGCTGCAGTTGGAGCTGGGAGGGGAGGGGGCTCACTTATTCTTTCTCCCCTCCAGGCACTTCTGTGATGCAGGTGACAGCCACGGATGAGGACGATGCCATCAACACCTACAATGGGGTGGTTGCTTACTCCATTCATAGCCAAGAGCCAAAGGACCCTCATGACCTCATGTTCACTGTCCACCGGAGCACAGGCACCATCAGCGTCATCTCCAGCGGCCTGGACCGGGAGGTGAGTGCCCCTTGGGGAAAATACTCCCTACCCAGGCTTGTCCAGGCTGGAACCGGACACCGTGAGCAGAGCCCCGTCCCTGCTGCCAAAGCCCAAGAGAGCAGTGGGGACTCAAGTCACTTAGCAGTGGCTGCTGCTATGTTCCTACATTGGTGTCCCTCAGCTCCCTTGGGCCAGTGGCACACTGCCAAACAATCTTGTTAAGGCTGAGGAGGCAGCTATAAAATGCAGACGTTTGATATTTTCTGTAGGTTTTCTCATTTCCTCTCGGAACGGCTCACTTAACATGCACACGGCCCAGATTTGTCCCTTGTGTGCCACAAAGTAGAATTAGCTCCATGGATATTGGAGTTGCCTCCTGTTTCCTAATTAATACCTTTGACCAAATTCCTGCTCAAAGCTCCCATTCTGCATCTGCCCACAGTCAGAGGGCGATGCCCAGGCTTTACCCCCTGACAGGCCCAGGAATAATACTATTTGGATGGGCAGCCTCCCTCCCCTTTCATCCTTTGCTTCTGTTCTTTGAGGTGGTGGGTCGAGGAGTCAAGAGAACATTGTGAGAGGGATAAGTGTTGCCCTCCCCTCCACATTCCCCCAAGGCTGACCTCTCGGTGGCCTTCCACTCTCCTTTTCTCCACAGAGAGTCCCTAAGTACACACTGACTGTCCAGGCCACAGACATGGACGGGGACGGCTCCACCACTACGGCAGTGGCCATAGTGGAAATCCTCGATGCCAACGACAATGCTCCTGTGTTCGATCCTCAGAAGGTAATGCCCCTTCCCACCTCCTTCCCTCATCAGACAACGGAGGACTAGGGTTTTCCTTTCTAATGAAACTCCAGAACCAGCCCACGCTGTGTCAAGTTCCAGTCCCACCGCTGACCAGCTCTGTGATCTTAGGCAAACCACCCAACCTCCCTGGGCCCTAACTTCCTGATCTGTGAAGTGGGGATTATGATACTATCTGCTGCATTATTCTGAGTTTTAAATGAAATAATCTATGTAACACAATCCCTGGTACATAATAAGTGTATGATAATGGAAAGTCTTTGATGATAAGCAAACTTCTAATTCACCCTGTACCTATACCTGCCCACCTTCCCCCAGTGAAAATTTGTACAGTTCCAGTGACAGAACTCAGCGCTAGTAAAGAAGACACCTAACTCCTTCTATCTTGAGGCAACTCTGGCTGCAGGACATTATTTAAGACTGATTAAAATTTGTTCTGAGCAGCTGAGTTCCCAGTCTTTGCCATCTGTTCTAGAACTTCCAAAAAAAAGTTCCTGGTCAGTGCCCCAGAGACATCAGGCACTGAGCCCTTCTTGCCACCTTCCTTATACCTTTCCGATCTCAGGTAAATAGGTGGTTACGCATGGTGGGGGTTGGGCAGCCAGACCAGTGAGATTCCTGGAGGTTCAGGCCCCTGGGTGCAGAGAAAGCAGGCCCAAGATTGCTGTGGCCTGTGCCCGCAGCTGAGAGGCTGGCTCCTGGGGTATTCTGCGTCTGTGTGCCCCGCAACCCTGATAAGCGAGTGAGGTGGTCCCGGAAAGGGCAAGAGGCATGGGGCTGTGCTAGCGTTGGATGGAAAACTTACAGCTTGAGAAGAATGGAACAGTCTGCCAGAGTGATCCGTCTCTCTGCTCTAACTGCGCTGTGCTTCCCACGCTGACAGTACGAGGCCCGTGCACCTGAGAACGCGGTGGGCCATGAGGTACTGAGCCTGACAGTGACCGATCTGGACGTCCCCAACTCACCGGCATGGCGTGCCACCTATCGCATCTTGGAAGGTGACGATGGGGACCATTTTACCATCACCACTCACCCTGAGAGCAACCAGGGTATCCTGACAACCAAGAAGGTGAATCCTTTTGGGCTTTAGACACGGGCCACAGCTGGGGCAGTCAGGTCTGCCGCCTCCCAGGACGAGGAGGCGACCTCTGCCTTGGGACACGTACCTTGGGCCATTGACCAGACTGTGCGCCGGGCCAGTGGCTTCCAACACTTTCTCATCCCCTTTGTGTTGGGAATTCCCTCTTTCATACTAAATCTTAACCTGGGACCCAATTCATAAAGCAGGGAACAGTCACACATCTAACGGGAGTAGATCAGCGGAGCCCCTCGTCTCTGCTCCCAGTGTCCATTCGTTCGCCGCCCTCAGTCAGTCCTCTCACACAGAGGGTCTCTGTTTTATTGGAATTCTTGATAATTTTGCATTCAATCCATAGCTAGGTATTTGGACAGTAAAATGTTCTAAAGTACTTAGTAGTTAGTCATACCCTCACCTCTCCAAAAGCCTTTGAATAAGATTCATGCTTTAGGAGGGTGGAACTAATCTTTCTTTGATTTCTTTTGTATCTCTATGGAATTGTCCAAATGTAGTGAATACTGTGTCTCAGGTGGCTCACATCACGCACGGTATTGATGGTTTTTTTCCCAGAGCAACAAATAAACAACACTTGGGAAAGGCCTGAGCAAATCACAGTTTCCCCCTAGAAGTTCCATTCCTAGAAAATTCAATATACATTAAAACCACACCAAAAGCTATTTTTTATGTAAAACATGTTCTAGAATGCAATTATAAATAGATTTTTCACACCCATGAATACACGAATGTCCAAGGGGATGTTGGCAAGTCACATGAGATACGGGACAGTTCTTTGTGTCCCTGCCCCAGCCTGTAAATGCCAGTGGCAGCCCCAGTCATTAGGACTAGAAATGTCTCTGAAAGTTTCTGCAGCACCCACTAGGGGCATCACCACCCCTTTGGGAACCAGTCTGAGGCTGACTAGTCTGGCTGCCTTTGGGGTGGTCTGAGAGGCCTCACTGGATATCGACTCAGAAAATGCGGGTGGCTTTATGGGGCAGGGGAGGGGCAGTGTTGTGCCTGGTGAGATTCCCAGGCCTCTCGCTTTGGGCCCTTCCTTCTGACATCACAGCTCTGCATGGGGCTCCTCGTAGAATGGGAACTCAGGTCCTTCTTCCCTCCCAGGGCTTGGATTTTGAGGCCAAAAACCAGCACACACTGTACATTGAAGTGACCAACGAGGCTCCCTTTGTAGTGAAGCTCCCCACCTCCACGGCCACCGTACTGGTCCACGTGGAGGATGTGAATGAGGCACCCGCATTTGTCCCGCCCTCCAAAGTGGTCGCGGTCCAGGAGGATATCTCAGCTGGGGAGTCTGTCTGCACCTACACTGCACAGGACCCTGACAAGGGGAGCCAGAAGATCAGGTATGCAGGAGCAGGCCTCAGATGCGCTGGTACTTCTGAATGGGTTGTTTCTTATGGCCAGTATGTGCTCTAATTGCTACAAAGGTTGTTAAATATTTTGAACACCCCCCCTGCCTCCCCCTCCTACCTCCCCAAGGCTTAAGACTCTGGGCAGGGGTCCCTGTTCCTTCTCACGCATCCTTGCTGGCCCGTCACCTGCTGCTCAGGCTTCATTTAGGGGTGAGATGCATTTTCCTCATGATCCTGCTTAGGAGCCCTGTGTCCCAAGACACCGTCTGCTTGTTGGCATGAAGAAGCTTTGAGTGATGACACCAGAATTCTAAGTATTCTGTATGTGACTCTTCTTAACTTTTCTGCTCCAGCTACCACATCCTGAGAGACCCAGCAGGGTGGCTAGCGATGGACCCGCACAGCGGGCAGGTCACCGCTGCAGGAGTGTTGGACCGCGAGGATGAGCGGTTTGTGAGGAACAACGTCTATGAAGTCATGGTCTTGGCCACGGACGATGGTGAGAGCTTCCTCCCAGCCCCTCCTCACGGGCACCTTTGGTTCCCAGGTCATATACCACAGCATGGCCCTGCCTCAGGCAGAGGATGGCGCATGTGCGGAGGTGGGTGTTAGCAATCCAATCCGGAGGGTCAAAGGGGCCTTTCAGAGAAGTCTTTTTTTTAATGTATTTGTTATTTGAGAGTATGGTTATTAAAGCTGACGACAGTGAAATAAGGATGGGCTTAGGATAGAAGAAGCACCAGGAGAGAGTCAAAATGGGGCTGCTGTCAGTTCACTGGACAGTCAGAGAAAAGTGGGCTCTGGGGACAGGTTCAGGGGGTCATCCTGGGACGACCTGCCGCTGCCCATGGCTCCCCTGATTGCAAGTCTTGTGAGGTCCCGTAGAGCCTAGGAGATGCACTCATTTGGGGGGAAGAAGAGGGAGAAAGGAAACAGATGGGCAGGCACCTGGGAGGGAGAGTGTGCAGCACTTGCAGAGGAGTCTATTAAAGACTGGTCCTAGGGTGGCTGGCCATGGTTCTGGTTCCCCTAAAATCTGAGTTAGGGGATCTCCTGTACTGGCCTGTCAATTTCCCCTTGATTCATAGAAAGGGGCTGCCTGAAAGTGCTGTGCTTGATGAGTGACGCCACACTGTGGCAGGGTCGGGGGTTGCCAACCCTGCTTGACACGTAGTGTATCACAGCATGGAGGCAGGTTAGAGGTCACCGCAGGGCCGTGAAGGGAAGCCCCCTGAAGCTGATGGTCAACTACTGCGTGAGCCCTGAGGTGGCCAGTGGGTTTCGCTTCGTGACAGACTGAGAGTGGCAGCCTGGGTGAAGTGGCTGCAGTTCTGTGCCCTGATCTGTTAGTAGTGCCTACTACGGACACAAAACGGGTTGCTGGCGTGATCGCCTTGTATTTGCTGTCACGGGTCTGATCTACAGTGAAGCTACCATGGGGAGAGTCTTGAGAGGTTACAGCTGGTCAGTAAACAGGACCTCCCTGAGGCTGATTGGGTAGGTCATAGGGGAGCTTAACATTGATTCATCAATGCAACCCAAGGGCAGATGCTGAAAAGGATCATCTGTGTAATTATGAACAGGAAGCCCTCCCGCCACTGGCACGGGGACCCTTCTGCTAACACTTATGGACGTCAACGACCATGGCCCTGTCCCCGAACCTCGTCAGATTACCATCTGCAACCAAAGCCCTGTGCCCCAAGTGCTGAACATCACAGACAAGGACCTGTCCCCCCACACCTCCCCTTTCAAGGCCCAGCTCACGCACAACTCGGACATCTACTGGACGGCAGAAGTCAACGAGAAAGGTAACTGCGTGGTCGTGGCAGGTGGGTGCCAGCTCTGTTGGGTCGGCGTTTGCCTCATACCGGGACCTTATACACTTGCCCAGCTGAGCATTTTGTGGGTCACAGAGGTAAATCAAGTGTTAATTATCAACACAGTGTAAGCCTTTGGAATTCCACAGGCGCCTCTTAAAGACCATTCCAGCCCAGCCACCTTCCTATAGGGATGGAGAAACCGGCCCAGACAGAGAGAGAGTGTGACTTCCTCCATGTCATATGAGCCGGGACCCCAACACTGTGATAATAGCTGACATGTACTGAGCATGTTTACTCTGTGCTAGAGACCCCTTCTGGTGCTTTACATAGATTAGACTTTTTTATCCTTACAACAGTCCTCTGAAGAAGATACTAGTATCACATAGACATGTGTGCACACACCTTTTACAGATGAGAAGACCAAGGCTTACAGAAATTTTTAAAAAAATTTTTTAATCTTATTTATTTATTTAGAGAGAGGGGAAGGGAGGGAGAAAGAGAGGGAGAGAAACATCAGTGTTTCTTGCCTCTCACATGCCCCCTACTAGATACCTGGCCTGCAGCCCACGCACGTGCCCTGACTGGGAATCAAGCCGATGGCTCTTCGGTGTGCAGGCCGGCACACACTCCACTGAGCCACGCCAGCCGGGGCAGGAGTTTAAATACCCTGCCAGAGGCTCTATGGCTAGAAAACGATGACGCCAGGATGTGAATCCAGGCAGTCTGATTTACCATAGTGGTCTGCTGCCTACCGTTTATTGAAGCCCGGTGGTATGCAAATGCTTTTTCTGTTTGTCCTTATTTAGTATTTCTACTACCTGTGCAGTCAGCATTTTTTATCCCTAATTATAAGTGAGAGAGGTTAAATAGCATGCCCATGGGCTCATAGTGGGTGAGCAGCAGAGGCTGAAGCTAGGGTCACTGGCCCTGCTCCCATCCGCCTCTGTCCTTTCTGATAACCCTGGAGCTTCTCGGCCTGCAGTAGCTTTTCATTTGTTACAGGCCTGGGGAGTGGTCTTATTGGCATCAATGGGTGAGGCCCTCACAGGGTACATGAGGAAGGTAGATCCAGCCCCAACTGCCAGTAAGGTCCCTGGAGAGACATTGCCTCACTCTCCTTTAAAATGTCCCTTTCTTCCTCCCCCTGAGGTAAGGTCATCCAGGAGGGAAATGGGGGACCAGTACATTCAAGTTCTGCCCCAAAGAAACCGAATGCCCGGTGTTCATAATTCCTGCTGAGCGCAACACAGAAAGCGCGTCCCGATCTGCTTCAGACCTCTACATTGGCTCTTTGTTCCTTTCCTCCTGCAAAATGGGGGTTTTGGGGGGAACAACAAAGAATCGCAGTTTTGGACATGTGGTCTAATGGTGAACCACACACAAGTCCCCCTCATTGGCTCATTTTTGTGATTCCTCTGATTTGGGTGTATTAATCTAGCACCTTTCCTTTGGGGAGCCCAAATTGGTCTCCTGTCACCCCCTTGTGGCCTAGAAGCCATTTTTTCCTCCCTGCCCATGCTGTTCAGAGAGCATGGACTCGGGAGCCACGTCACCTTGGTCCAAGACCTGACTCCTCCATCTACTATCCTTGTGGTTGTGGACAGGTTACTGAGCCTCACTGTTGCTCAGTAAAACAGTGCCAGTAATTGTACCTGCTTCTACAATTGCTATGAAGATAAGTGACTACATGAGAAGGATCTGGTCTGCTGCGTCAGTGCACGGCAGATGCAAGTGGCCATTTCACTACCCCGATTTCCCAGCAGCAGTCAGACCTGACCCTGTCAGGTGCGAGCGTTATGGCCAGAGCCCAGCGGTACCCACACCTGATAATAGGATTGATGTCTGGTTCTTGGTTTTAACTTAGTTTTTTGACCCCATCTTGTCCCTGTTATTAGGGGAATTAATTCAAACTCTATCCAGGGTGACCTCAAGCTGGTTAATTGGCCTCCCTAAGCTTCATTTTCTACATTGGTAAGATGCAGGCGACAGTACCTGCCTTCACCTTGTGGTGAAGAGGAGAGTAGAGCTTGGTACGTAGTGTCATTTTAGTCACCACTGCCACTAGCACCGCCGCCACCACCGTCATCAACTGGGAAGTCGGCCCTCTGATTTCCAGGAAGAGAATGGCGATAGGGACATTTTGGTGAAATATCCCACATTGGCTCCTCTACATGGTTGTCAAATACTCAGCCCACCCCGCTCTGTCTGCCTGCCAGTGCCAAGAGGGAACAGGGCGAATTCCCCCTTCTGGCCTTTTTCACTAAGGGCTCAGAGAGTGTGCAGAGGCTTTGACCTGAAAATGGCCAGTGCTGAACTAGGCCAGCAAACCAGAGGGGGGTGAGTTAGAAACGTGGGGTTGTTTCTAGTTCCCCCAATGACTGGGGGTGCTACTGGTATTTAGCAGTGAGGGTCTGTAATGCTTGGGAAAGTCCTGAGTGATGAAAAATAGTTCCATACAAACCTAAATAGCTCCCTCCCTGAGAAACTTGCATCTAAACTGAAAGTCTTTAGACAGGCCCCGGACCCTATATTTCTCACCCACAAAGGTAGCCCCCTCCCCACTCTGGGATTGCCACACCGTCTCCCCAGGGTGACGCCCATTGTGCAGGCCGCACTGAGCTCGGCTTCTGCTGGTGGTTAGCCTGCCCCACGCCGTGGGCTTTTGAGGGCCAGTTAGCTCAGTGCCCATTGCGTCCTTGTTTCCAGCATCCGCACTTGTGAGCAGCTGTTAGTGCTGTCGTAACAGCTCATCTGCTTCACAGCATGTTATATCACCAATGATTGATGCTCACTCGGAAATACCAGTGTTTGGGATATTGAAATGCTCTCATACAGTTGAGATATCAATGTCACATTTACCTTATTTTTTTAATTGCTCAAATACATTTGTCTCCATTTTCCCGCCACCACTTTCCCCTGCCCCACCCACCCCCACCTCCCTCACGTTTACTATTCCAAGAGTAAAATGCTGCAGCAATAAATGGCAGTGAACTTTCAAATAGGAAAACAGGTGATCGGTTAACATGGCATTAAAATAGCCATCTGTCTCTTAGAGCAGGGTTGTATTTGAGGAAAAACAGTCTAATAGTGCTGAGAGGTTATTGACACTGTATGACAAGACTTTTTAAAAACTTCATATTTTAAAAACACTTTGATCATTGTATTTTTTTTAACAGTGTCTGTTTTTCTGCCCCAATAATCCTTAACCATGACGGTGAATTTGGCTTTGGCCAAACATGAATTTTTAACACTTGGGATGAGTGTGCTTTGGGGATTTTTCTCCTGTCACCCAGATGTAGAGGCTGTCCCCTCAAACCTCCATCATGACCTCCTCTAAGGCGAGCATGTTATCTGTCCACCCAGGAGATGCAGTCGCCCTGTCACTGAAGAAGTTCCTGAAGCAAGACATATATGACGTGCACCTCTCTCTGTCTGACCGTGGCAACAAGGAGCAGCCGGCAGTGATCAGGGCCGCCGTGTGCGACTGCCACGGCCACGTGGAGACCTGCCCCGAGCGCTGGAAGGGGGGTTTCCTCCTCCCCATCCTGGGGGCCGTCCTGGCTCTGCTGTGTGAGTACCCCTGCCCTCCCCCTCTAAGGAGTGGGTAGTTGGAGGGCTTGATTCCACCCTGAACTCCTGGGGCTAAGGGGCCGCCAGCACTGCCCATCTTTTCCTTAAACTCTTAATTCCAGGAGTGTCAGTCAGTCAGTAGATACTTATGGAGCTTCTGGAATATGCCAGGCTTTGGGGATTCCGTGGTGAGCAAATGGACTTTGCCATTATGTCATCTAGAGGCTGGAGCAGTGGTTCTGAAAGAGTGGTCTCCAGACCAGCAGCACTGGCATTACCAGGAATTCGTTAGAAAGGCCAGGTCTCGGGCCCCACTCCAGACCTACTGATTCAGACAGGACTCGCGTTGTCACAGCCCTCCAGAGGACCCTGATGCATGCTGCAGTCTGAGAAGCGCTGGGTTAGTGGGAGGGCGTGTTTAGTTAAAAAGCAGTTTCTTTGTTCCAAAGGTACAAATCACATTTGCCTTTTTCACTCCATGAGTCCTTGCACAGAAAACACACATTCAATCAGATGTGAATACAACACGATATACTGCGCACCAGGCACTGTGTCAGGCACTGGGGGCACATGCAGCACTTAATAAAACAAACCAATCCCTGCCCTCGTGGAGCTGCCCTTCTAGTGCAGGGAGCACACAACAAGGAATTGGCAGGGAAGGAGGTGTTGCTGTGGAGAAAATGAACGTGGAGAGGAGGAGGTCTGCAATTTTCAGTAGGTGGGCAGGAAAAGCCTTGCTGAGAAGGGGATTTTCAAGTAAAGACCTGAAAACGGTGAGGAAGCAATTCAGCAGGTGTCTAGGGAACAAGCACAGAGGCCCTGAGGCAGGCTGTGCTTGGTGTGTGAAACGGACGGAGAGTGCCGAGAGCAAGAGGGGAGAGCGGGGGAGGAGGTCCGCGAGGTGGGGCAGCAGCGGGGCCTTGTAGGCTCCCGTTGGGGCTCTGGGTGAGATGGGAAGCCATCAGAAAAGGCCGGGAGCAGAGCAGTGATGTGATCTGACGTGAGGGTTATTACAGGGTTCCTACTGCATAGTACTGGACAGACTAGAGGGGCAAGAAATGGAGGCAGGAGGACCATTTAGGAGCAACTGCTATAATCTAGGGGGAGGCGGGTGCTGGTGGCTCAGACCAGGATGGCTCTTGAGGTGGTGATATTTTAAGGTAGAATCGGTTCATCAACATGTGGTATGAAGAAAAGAGCCACTGGTGAACTGAAGGTCTGAATAAGCAGACACAGGAGTTTTCATTACCAGTTTGGGAAGGACCGTGGGAGGAGACTTGGCAGTCCAGTCCAAATGGCGATATCAGTGGGCAGCTAGACAGATGAGCTTTGGGGACAGGTGAGAAATCCAGGTCGCCTCCTGCCTTTTCCCTGTCCCACTGGAGAGGAAGAGGGTTGGGAGAGGTCACAGCTTGTCCCGTATGATATGTCCATGCTGAGAACTCACAGACTCCCTAAGAAGGGTAGGCCTGTTTTGTGTGGCCAGAGAGAGACGGTGGTTCCATCAGCAGGCCAGAAAAGTGGCGACATACCCGGACACAGCCACTGTTCAGCATCGTCACTGAGAGGGCCAAGGGGTACCTCTTCCTCTGGGACTAACCGGGGTAGTCATGGCCGTTAGGGGTGCGGCCAGGCATTCCTTGGCCATCTCCCCATGTCTAAACCGTGTCACTAAACACCAGTCCCTCTTAAAATTCCAACAGAGCACTTGCATCAAAGTTCAAATTGTACCATATCAGGGTTGTTTAACTTTTGACAAAGTCTATGGCTAATTTAGGGGGCACCTGGGGACTGGAAAAGAGTCTTGTTGAAAAGGAACATCAGCTTGAAGGGTTCCATCCCTGCAGAGGAGAATTTCCCTAAGGACCAGTACCGTCAACGAGGGAAGACTGACGATAAATGATACAGAATTATAGATGGGGGTGAAGTCACAGTGCTGCCTGGGGGAGGGGACCTTAAGCTGAGACCCAAAGGGTGAGAGTTGTGTATATGCATGGAGAGTGTTCCAGACAAGGAAAGAGCCCAGAGGGAGGTGGCAACCTGCTGCAGATATTGAAGGAACTCCGAGGAGGCCAATGTGACTAGACCTGGGCAGAGGGTGGGGACAGACCAGGGCCAAGTCCTCTGCACCTGGATAAGGAATTAACAGTTTTCCTAGGTGCAAGGGAGTGATTGAAGTGTGTTAAGCTCTGGCTACCGCGTGGAGGGATCTAAAGTTAGATGGAGTTCTGAGGGCTTCGGGACCTGGCCAGCCCTGTGGCTGCGGGGGGGACATTCACGCCCCACTGTCCTTGCAGTGCTTCTGCTGGTGCTCCTCCTGCTGGTGAGAAAGAAGCGGAAAGTCAAGGAACCCCTCCTGCTCCCGGAAGATGACACCCGTGACAACGTCTTCTACTATGGTGAAGAAGGGGGCGGCGAGGAGGACCAGGTAGGGCATGGAAGGGTCTGGGGTTTGGAAGTTGGGTGTCCCCGGGGCCACTGGCAGGAATGGTTGGGTCAACCAACTAACCGTCTTAGCTACATTGACCAGTCCCTGGCCTAAAGCATCAGTCTTCCTGCAGGATCCACAGCCAACTCTCCTCTTCTGGAAGGGCGTCTTGTCCGTTGCTGTAGTCTCTTTGGCCCCAGTCAGGGTGACTGGGGAGAAGGGGTTGTGGAAACTGGGGCTTTCAGAAATCACTGACATTTCTGTCCTCTAAGACCTATCCACAAACCAGAACATCCGAATGGTAGAGAAGTGGGGTGAAGTGTAAATAGTGGGTAAGTGGTGGGGGGTCCTTCTCAATCTCATGCTCCCCTTTCTTGAAGGACTATGACATCACTCAACTCCACCGGGGTCTGGAGGCCCGGCCCCCGGTTGCTCTCCGCAACGATGTGGCGCCGGCCTTTATACTCAGACCCATGTACCGTCCACGACCAGCCAACCCAGATGAAATCGGCAACTTCATCACTGAGGTGAGGCTTGGGGACCAGCCTAGGGCATCCCTATGTTCAAGCTCAACAGCACAGGCCAAAGAGCATGGGCTCAGAGTGTTGCCTCTTGGCTCGAATCCTGACTTCACCACCAACCAGCTGTGTGACTCTGGCACATTTGAGTAACTTCTGGGCTTGTCTTTCCTCCTTCATGAAATTCCAGCTCTCACAGTAGTAAAGAATAGACTAGGAATAACTTATTCATTTATTCAACAAAGACAGGGTTGGACAAAAGTAGGTGTATGGTTGTGAGTATGCAAAACAATTTATTCTTGTATTATTACTAATTACTGTTTTCCATATGAACAACTGTAAGCCTACTTTTGCCCCTTCCTGTATGGTTGTTCTGAAAGAACTCTGGAGCCAGAGAACCTGGTTTGGGTTTTTAAATCCCAGGTGACTCCGGTGCAGGGGAGGCAGGGGCCTGAGGTCTGTGTTCGGGGCTGCCATGAGGGCTGAATGAGCGAGCACCTGGGACGGGGCCAGCTCGGCGCTTCCTGAACGGCCTTCACGCTGCAGCCTCCCGGGGGCATCAAACACCGATGCCTCGGATCCACCCCCGAGGCTGGTTTCATGCACCTGGATGTGACCGGGGCTGGCTTTGGAATTTTTTAAAAACTCCCAGGTAATTTAAGTGTGGGACCCACTGACCTGGCACTTGGCCTTTGCTAGGCGTGGTAGCTGTTGTTGCTAGTAGCTGAGTGTCTTCAGTGTTCTTGACTCTGGTCGCACATTTGAGGGATTTTGAAAAATATCAATGCCTGGGACCCTGGCATCTGTATTTTTAGGCTCTGATGTGGTTAGCTTCCTAAGGCAATCAAATATAGTCAGGGTTGTAAGAACCACTGAACTAGGTACATAGGAGTTAGATGATATGAACCTGGTACCTCACTAGCAATCTGTAAATGGAGGAGTCCTTTCTGTTTTTAATTCTAACCTGAGGAGTGAGATAGAAACTTTGATCGGTTGCCTCTCGCACACGCCCAGGCTGGGGACCAAACCCACAACCTAGGCATGTGCCCTGACTGGGAATCAAAAACCGTGACCCTTCAGTCTACTGGACAACACTCCAACCAACCGAGCCACACCAGCCAGGGCCAAATGGAGGTTTTTAATAGGAAGCGTGGGTGGGTTGGGGAGAGTAAGGAGCAGGAGTGGACAAAGGGCTCAATGGGCCGTCAGGGTACCTCCCCGGGGCTTGACCCCTTTTGGCTCAGTCTTCTGCAAAAAAGGAAACTAAACTTCTTGCCTTCTAGAAGTTGCCTAAGCATACTTGAGAGTGTTGTGCAAAAAACAGAAGCATCTGGGAAAAGATGCCTGGGACGGTGGATCTGAGAAGACACCTCGGAGCTAAATATCTGGAGCTTTTCCCTCCAGTTAGATGAAGTCGTTTTCTAGAATGTCTGTGTGTTGGACAGTTTGCAAATACTATGTCATTTAATTCCCTACATCTACTCTGCAGGGTAGGAATCCTATTGTTACCCTCAATTTACAAACGAGGAAATAGTGTTCCACTACCATGCCAGGTACTATTCTAATGAACACTTTACATATATTCATTTATTCCTCTAAAACAATATGAAGTCTCCCCATTTCAGAGATGAGGAAAAAGCAGCATAGACAGGATAAGGGACTTGCCCAAGGTCACATTCTAGTGTGTGAAGTCTGAGTTCTGACTTAAGCCATCTGATTTCAAAGCCCCTGCCCTTCACCCTGGACTGTCGGGCTGAGCGCCTGCTGCGCGCTTGGGCCCTGTGCTGAGTATATGCATTGTTTCATTTCAACCTTCGAAACCCTAAGGGAAGGGAGAAGTGGCTTCACAAGTAAGGAAATGCAGGCTCAGCCAGGTGAACCAACTTGCCCCACGTTCTCAAAGCTGCCAAGGGTGTGGTCCCTCGGCGCCTAACCACCTGCTCTCTGTCACCACAGAACATGAAGGCAGCTGACACGGACCCCACAGCCCCGCCCTATGACTCCCTGTTGGTATTCGACTATGAGGGCAGCGGCTCTGAAGCCAGCTCGTTCAGCTCCCTCACCTCCTCGACCTCCGACCAGGACCAAGACTATGACTATCTGAACGAATGGGGCAGCCGCTTCAAGAAGCTGGCGGACATGTATGGGGGCGGCCAGGATGACTAGGCCTCGGGACCAGTAGGTCCGGGGACTATTTCAGGCCACAACTGCATCTTCAAAGGGTCTCAGCCCCCCTCAGCCAAGGACTTTGGAGCTGTTGAGAAGTGGCCTTAGCAACTTGGAAGGAAGAAGCCCCGAGTCTGACATTGGAGAGATTGGGGTTTAAGCCTTTGAAACCTGGGCAGTTTGGCTTCAGCACTGAAAACCCCTCAGCCTGGGGGCCCAGGGGCCTGGGGGGCTGAGTTTTCGGGAGTCTCTTACCTGCCAGGAAATGCTGAGCTCTGTGTCCTGGGCCTGGACCGATTCTGACTCCCCATGATAGCATTCTCTCTGGAATGGACTGTTCTCCTTAGAAAGAGGTCTCTTTTTAAAATCTGGATATTTTTTTTTATGCTGTTTTTAAAAAGTCAGAGGCGGGCCCTCAACTGTCCCCCCCGAGCCCGCCGAAAGCCCAGGCTGGAGCTGCTTGGCTCACGGGCCTCGTGCATTTTGCTCTGCTCTGGAGGCACAGCGGCTTCTGTTTGAAGGGATTACGGCGTTTTTATACTGAGCGCATCTAAGTCCTCCTTTGTTTTTCCTTCCCCTGTGGAGTGCTGTAGATGAAGGGTGATGACAATCGTGTAAATGTAATAGAACTTTTTTATTAAAGGAACTTTCTCAGAGGTGTCAGGGGAGTGAACTCTTTTTAGGTAGTTTCGTTGATACATCGTTCACATGCCATACCATTCACCCACTTAGTGTAAAATTCAATGGTTTTTAGACTTTTTGGAGTTGGGTAAGGGGAACAAGCACTGTCAACCATGGCGGCTCCACCACAGCTCCCTTTATAGGCCCCGGAGGTGACAAACCTGCTGTCCTCCCTGTAGAGTCAGAGTTGCTCGTCTGTGGAAGAGAAGCAGTTAACCTCCTTACCCCTGCGCTGAGCCCCAACAGAGCTTCAGGTGACACCTTTTCTTGCATGGTGACTGCTTCCACGTGGTGTGCTGTGTGATTTCTTCTGTGCTGTGGGTTCTGTGCTGAAAGGCAGGGGCTGGGGAGGGTCTGGCTCTGCTACTTCCTAGCAAGTCAGTTGACCTCTACCTGCTTCAGAATTTTCTGCATAAACTCAGGTGTTCTTATGGAGATTAAGTGATTTAATCTGGCACATGGTAAGTGCTATGTGTGTTCATTGATAATGGCTACGATTTAGGCCTGGGCAGCCCTTAACTTCAATTATTTCCTTTAAACAAATCCTCGCAATCAACTCCTCTGAGGGGATTTTCCTCCTTTAAAGAATGGCCTTATTGTTTTTTGTTGGTTTTTTTTTTTTTAATGACACCTGATCACCAAAATCAAGCCAGACAGAAAGTCAGAGAACTCACCCAGCATGTCAATGAAATTGGAACGCTCCTGACGATACCCAGGGAGAGATACAGAAATAAGGCTGAAGAGCCAGCAGGGATAGAACAATTCCTGTGTGCCTTTGTTAAAGCAAAGCTTAAATTTTCTCTTTGCAATGAACCAACAGAAAAGAATATGAAGTGAAGCTGAAAAGATGGCTGAAGCGGAAATAAATGTGCGCTTCCTGCAAGAGTGACTCAGTCTGTAAAGCAGTTGTCCTCAAAGTGCAGTCCCTGGTCCAGGAGCAGCCACGTCACCTGCAGAATCAAACTCTGCGGGCAGGACCTTGCAAGCGGCTTTAACAAGCCACCCAGGTAACTTCTGATGCACATGTGGGTTTAAAACCACGGCTCTGAAGGACGAGGCTGAGGGTGCCCAGAAGCCTCACCCTGGATGGGGAAGTCAAAAGGGAACTAAGGTAAGAAACCTCCTCACCTGTCCTCAGTCAACAGCGCCTTAGCCCACAGTCAAGGCTGCCTCCTGTCTGTTCCATGAGCTGCAGCCTCTGGCTCCTGTGGCTTCAGATTCTCCTCTACCAGGCCCTCGCTGCTTTTGCTGATAAAGCTGTGAGGGAGGATTAGGTATCTCAGCAAACACCTGCTGCCCCTTATCTTAAACTCCTCTCTGAGAAGCCTGACTAAAGCCTGAAACCCTATCTTCGGTGGAGGCTAATAATAAAACCAAACAGCCACTGCTCGGGCTGGCCTTCCTCCCCTGAGATTTTTGGAGGGGGTCGAGGAGGAAAAGTGGCCTTTCCTAGCCAAGCCTGGACTGTCTGGGTGGCTCTAGATCCCCTGGGTGCTGGCACCTGTCACCAGCCCCTGAGGGCTTTGGAGGTACTGAGCCTGCTTCTTATCTGCAAAAGAAGATCTTAGGACTAGTTTTTAGGGCCTATAATAAGTCAAAATAACTTAAAAGTCACCAGTGCTAAGCTCTCAGAGTGCCAACTATAACCAGTGTGACCATCCGTACCGGTGGGACCACCTGAACGTTTGATTTTCCATACTCTGAATACTAATTAATCTTTCCTATTTTGTTGTTCAATAGTTGGGTGTGCCTCTTTGCGTCTCCCCCCACCCCCCATGCATTAGGTACACATTTTGCATTGCACCTTACAACAGGACATACAAGGAGGCTGCAATATTGTCTCCAGCCCATCCAAGTTGGACGTGTTAGCATTTATTTAATCTCACCACTATCCGTGGACATTATGATATTGTTTTTTGCCTTTAAGGCTGTTAAACTCCCTGGAGCATCCATCTCGGCAGATGCTTCAAAGCCAGTCTTCCAGCAACTAGGAGGGTGGGGGCGTGGGGGTTGCGGTCCTTGTGGGGATCAGGGCTGCCTGATTCTGAGTGGAGGGTTCAGTCTAGGGTGAGGAGTTGCTGCTGAAAGGACCCCTCAGTTTCATTCTATTAAGTGATTACCCTCCTTCCCCAGACTTTTTTCAAAGTTTTTTTTTTTAATTTGAGAGAAACATCAATTTGTTTTTCCAACTATGCATTCATTGGCTGATTTTTGTATGTTTCCTGACTGGAGATTGAACCCACGATGTTGGTGTATTGGGACAGCGCTCTAACCAGCTGAGGTGCTGAGCCAGGGTCCTCCCCCAACCTTTTAAAAGCCAAAGTTCCAGAACCCAAGTCCAACAACAACAACAAAGATAAAGTAACTTAGTTGGAAGAAGGGGTTGGGATGTTCAGAGACCAATCTCTTGACCTCATCCAATATTTCTTCTTAAGAACCCCCAAATGCAGAGCATTTAGAAATCCACCCCCAGGATACCCCTCTCATTGTTCAGATGACAAAAGATAGCAGGTCCAAAAGCAGGCTCTCCCCAAGATCCGTCCAGCAGGGCAGAGGTGGGCGGAGCCCAGACCTCACCTCTCCCCGTGCCTTCCTCTGTGGCTGCCCTGACAGTCTTAAGTTTTCCCTACCAAAGAGGGTGCCTGCAGGATCTGCCTGCAGGTGGGCTTGGCCCAGGCCCTGGCGGGGCCTGAAGGGAATGGCCATCATCCCTGGAAGGTGTATAAGTAGCTGAGGCCTCGGATGTCTGGCTTCCTATGCTAGACATGGACCTTCCTTAACCACAGGCCCACACATGGACACAGCAAGAAGACGCAGGCAGGGAAATGCTGAGGGATGGCCAGTCGGGGAGGGCGGTCACCTTGGGAAGCGCCTTTGGCAGCCCACACTGTATGTCCAGTTCTAGACTCAAGGGGACTCCATGGGGCCAACTCCCTTTGGGCCAAAGGCAGAGCCGGCCTCCTACTGAATCAACCCACCAAGGAGATGTGTTTCAGGGCACAGTTCAAATCCCAGCACTTTCAGGCATGACATCTTAGACAAGTCACTTTACCTCTCTGTGCCTCACTTTTCTTATCTGGAAAATGGAGGAATAAATTGAGGTAATAACTTAAGTGCTTAGAAGGGTTCATGGCATACAAGTGCTGCCTAAGTGTTAGTTTATCTGTAACTGCTGTTGCTGAGGAACTGACGGCCAGTTCCTGCTCCTTTAGCTCCACACTCACACCTCGGGTGGAAAGCACCCTTCCCACCCTAAGCCAGACACTCCAGGCTGCAGGAAGTGACTCCAGGAGGGGTGAGGGCGGGGCTGTGGCTTCCCTGAAGGCCCTTCCCCCCGTGCCCAGCAGAGGGCACCATTCACCTGAACCAGAGCATCAATGTGCCCCTCCCAGCTCCGCTACCAAGAGAGGGAGCCCCAGGGCAAAACAGTCACAAACAGTGGCCAAGAGCCAAGCACAGGAGTCTGCCGTGTGCCAGGAACTTCCTTGGACTCTGGTGGTGATCGTGGCGGTGGCAGCAGTAGTCAGTTGTTGGTCAAAGACTGGCCAGGCCCTTCACGTGCCAGGAATCACTCTCCCACTCACAGCCATGGGGAGATGGGTTTTATGGTTCCCTTTTTTAACTGAAATTTAGGATCAGAGAGATTAAAGTGTGGCCTCTTTTTACTATTAAAAATAAGACTCCATCTCCAGTGGGGGCGCGGGGCAGGCGAGCAGGCAGTGGCAGGGGCTCCTCAGACGTGATGCAACCTCCTTCGCCCACAGGCAGAGGGGACCTCCCCTGGGGCTGAAACTGAGGCCCTGCTTCAGAAAAGCCATAGCATTTCCAGCCACCTCTGGGGTCCCCTCGAGTATGTGGGGTATTACCCCAGAGGGTTTTTTAACTCATTCCTTTAACAACTATTTACTGAACACGTGATCAGTGTCGGGTGCTATTCCAGGTGCTAGGTGTACAGAAATTGAGAAAACTTAAAAATCTCAGTCCTAGTATTTGGGGGGAGGGGTCCAGGCAAAAATGTGTGTAGGTCCAACATACCATATGAGTCGAGGTCGTAAACTTTTAATGAAAAGATATTCTATCTCCCTATGTGGACAAGCGCGTGTTCAGCACAGTCTGGAAGGCTGGGTTTTAATCTGGCGTCTTGGACAACTGAAACACTGAGCCAGGGTGTGGCTGGATGGGCAGAGTTAACCCCTCGCCCAGCGGCAGACGACAGTCCGCTATTTTCCCCACCCCAGGCTCCATCTGCACCATGAGGGTCCTTATTCAATGGAAGTCAGGCCATAAACAAGACAAATCAGCACAATAATGGTGCACTG